CTCTTGCGCGCTCTCGCTCTCTCTCTCTCTCTCTCTCTCTCTCTCTCTCTCTCTCTTCTGTCTACCCCTCTCTCCTCCTTCCTCCTCTCTATCTCTCTCTTCATGTGCCTCTTTGTTTGTGTACAGTACTTGATGTGAAACTTCAATAATTCTGATATTTTCATCTAGGTATGATGATGTAATGCATAATATTTTTGTGTCTCGTTGCAGGTATGGGTTTTTCTTTGCTGGCGAATTTGCCCCCTGTATACGGTCTCTACGTATCAATATTTCCAGTCCTTATCTATAGCTTCCTGGGCAGTTCTCGCTATCTATCAAATGGTAAGTCGTTGTCAAATACAATTACATTTTAGTACAACCAAGATTCTTGTATTCTTTACAGTATTCTCCCCAGGAATTTTCAGAAGGCATTTAATTCATGATGCATGGGTGGGAGGCTGGGAGTGGGTTGAATTAATTGGAGTCAATTACACGTTGTAAGTGACCCATATACTCAGGTAACCTTGATCAGTTCGGAGACGTATACACCAAGTTATGAAAACACAGCATGACTGTGTCGGGATTGTGAAAAGTAAACGTGGAAATTAATGCATGTCAATACAGCGATTCGATTAAGGCATGTTGCAGTTTTTATGGGATGTTGCAAATTAGCTTTACACTTTATGTTATATAGGTATGCAGGGCTCTCCCCAGGCCTTTAATGCATGTCTGACCTGGCATATATATCAGGTGTCTATCAATACTCTCGATATACAATTGATAGACTCCTGATATATATATATATATATATATATATATATATATATATATATATATTATTCATTAACTTAAAATACAGTGATTGTAAAAAAGAATCTCCCCTATACTTGCTAGTCAGAGGCTAGTTGTATAAGTGTGTATGCATGCGTGCTTGCGTGTGTGCGTGCGTGCATGCCCGTGCGTGTATTTTGCGCTCATATGTGAAGTTCAGATGGCTCATAATCGCGATTAATACACCAGTTATAGTTATAATATGGGGTTTATTGTGATCGGGGTGGGGTGGTGGACACTCACATATGATTTTGAGCCCAAATACCGCGACATATTGATTGATGGCACGGCAGGTTGGTGACTGCTTTCATCTCCTATATCCCTAACTTCCACGTCATGCAGATATTTTAATATGACTGGGCGCAATGAGTGCCATACAATATAATACATGAAAACCATCCAGGTCAATGCACCTATATTCTTTCCAGCGCCTAGTGATATCTCCATAGAAATAATATAGATACAAATAGATTCTATATTATTTCTATTGTGGCGTGGCGCCGGTCACCACTGGTTCCCCAGCGACGTAATTGTGAAGTAGCTCACTGGGAACCACGGACAAAGTATGGGTATCTCTCAGCTCTAATCCCTTAACCTTTTCAGGGGCGGATTCAGGGCTGAAGCTAGACAGTATTTTTCCAGATTTTAAGGGCACATCCCCCAAAAAGGGCACACCACCCCACTGTGGGCGCCGTTAGGCGCGGAAGCACATGGCGGGGGGTGTGAGGGGCCTCCCCAGAAAATTTCAAAATTTCAAGGGTTCCTGGGCACAAAAATGAGCACCATTTGAGCACACATTTAGTCGCAGCAATTAATAGCTAAAAACCATATAAAATTTTATTTCTGCTTCATTTTGCCTGCGCTTTGCATACCAGCAATTAATGCAGAATGATTCAAGCACTTCCCTTCTTTTTCAGATATCAAAGCTAGTTTTGTTACCATGCAAAATTTTGATTTCTTTCAAGTCCTGTCAATGAATCAGAAGAATAAGAAAACAAATAAAGAATATAGCCAAATTCCACCAAATTGTTTTCTGTAGTTTTTAGCGCAAAATTTCGAAGAGCACTTTGAAATCTAGACCGTATTTCCCGGCAAATACGGTCTGAATCCGCCCCTGCTTTTCGAATTCCGTACTATAAATAATGCTTTGTTATTACTGGCGCAAAATCAAGTTTCGTGATCGCAGGCAGTTACGTGGGTGCGTGCGGTTAGGCCTACTGCGGGCTGCGATATTATCATGTAGACCTACACTACATCGATGCACTACAGGGCGCGGCTGGTTTTATCCTGCGCTACATGTTAGATGTCCTCTTGGTCCTCGTGTTGTTGCCGTAAAACACGGCGCTGCAACGTATCATAGATATATCAGCGCATATAAATCACTGGTGATCCTAGGTGATTTATATGCTCTGGATATATACAACTATGAACGTATCAACAAACCACACGTGACCTCGGTCAAAGCATGGTCAAAGTTTGAGTACTAGTAGTAGTAGTGTTCGGTTACACGATGACGTTGACACCAAGTGCTGTGATCACCTTATCACGAAGACAGGGTTAACTTATGTGTGCTGCTAATGCGTGTGTGAATGTTTATCACACACACTCTCTGTGTGTTCTGGATTCGAGTAAACGCGTTAGGATACGTTCGTTATGATAGATAGTAGATACGTGTGACAAGTGACATATTGACATGTACCGCCGAGTACCCACACGCGCGTCCGACCGGCCGCTGGCGCAGGTCGCAAATACCGTACGTATATGTAGCTGTAATATCAAGCTATAATCATTTATGGATGTCAATAATTATTTTAACTTCTTAGCCATGTAAAAAAAATGCAATTTGGTGACGACCAAGCAAGCATATAATATTTGTTGTGTGCATTGTACATGTAGGGTGAAGGCATGACGAGACAGCAGAGTAACGGCGGAGGTTCTGCTATGATGACAAACTCTTGCAGACCAGACATAACGCAGGTATATGGCATAATGGCAATGAATTTCATTTAGAATTCTGTCAGTTTAAAATGGTAAAACTGGGCCAGTGAAGTTGAGTGAACCCATATATGTAGGCGGCAGCACCAGCCACAATCTCATCACTTGTAATAATGTAATGATACATTGTATTTTTGATGATGGGCAAAGACTTACTGGGCGCATTACTGTTAAATTATTATTAATGAAACTATGTCAATTTGTCTAATAAATTTGTGACTTAATTTGCATAGAGCAGACAAATTTATTTTTTCATAGCGATCATCTAAGGAATTTTATATACTGCTCCTAACCTAATAAATGTATCAAATTAGTGATAAGAATTCTTTAGACACCTGTCCCCTCAATACATACAGGTGGAGTTTGATGAGCTATACAGAGCTAAGCTACCAGAGTCGCCTTCTCTGGTTGACTCAATGAGGTCGTGTGCAAAGCCGAGTTGCTCACGGAGAAGAGTGAAGAAAAGCTTCTTTGGCTTCTTTCCGCTGTTCAAGCATCTGCAAGGATACAACCTGAGGAAGGATCTACTTCTGGACATTGTGGCAGGCTTCACTGTAGGAATAATTCAGATTCCACAGAGTAAGCTTATTATCTTTTATTATGTTTATTTAGTTATCTTCGTTTTCTATTTCCATCTTTGCCCTTTCAGTCTCACTGTCTCTCTCTCTCTCTCTTTCGCTCTTTCTCTCTCTCTCTCTTTCGC